GGGGGGGGGCATCCGACGCGGGGGGGGCGGCTGTGAGGGAGAGGCGTGCGTTTTGGGGGGCGGGCCTGGCAGATGCCGGGGTGAGCGCATAGTGAGCAGGGCGGACGAGACAAAGCCAGGCGTGTGTGAACATGAGCAGACGGCAAGAGAGCACATAAGGCATGCAGGCTCTAACAAGATGACAGGGATGAAGAAACTACAAACCAATAGTAGCTCTGCCGTGCTGTGCTTGTGCCCGCCTCCGCAGCCGATGCCAGATCGGCCCCCACCACAATCCCCTTTTTGCCCCAAACTCCCGCCTCGGCCCCACCTGCCCCGCGAAGAACACGCAGTCCCTGTTGGCCTCGGAGTACCCCTGCGGCCGCGCCGGCATCACCGACCACAATGAGGCCGACAGACCCCCGATGCCGCTTGCCACGTCCCAGTAGGGCACGTAGCTCATCCGCCGTGCGCCTGTCGCCACGTCCTTATCGAACGCGTAGACCCTGACCTTGGAGGGCGTCGAGGCGGAGTTGCTCATGCACTGGGTCGCGACGGAGAGGTACACGCCCCACGCGTCGTAGGTGATCTGCGAGGGGGCGAGGCGGGGTTGGGGGTTGGGCGGTTGGGGCCGGCGGGTGAGGAGTTGGGTGGGTGGGGCCGGCTGCGTTGCTGGGCGCGGAGCAAGGGCCGATTTGGATGCGGCTGGGCGGTCCGTCTGGGGCTGGGCAAAGGGCGGAGCCATACACGAATTTAATGACAATCGTGCAGAGGTGGTGGTGCCTGCAGCTCATAATTAGGCGCCGGCGTTTGCACTCAGGCACCCAGCCCTCCAGCGTCACCGGCTCGACAGCCCCACCCGCCCACCTGCAGCATGTCCGGCAGCGCGTACTGCCCGGCAGGGCACGCGTCCAGGGCGATGCCGAAGACCTGCCAATTGCCGTTCACGGGGTCGGCCTTGTCGCTGACAGCCAGGTAGACCGCCCCCGCCTTGTTGGGCGGGTAGAACAGCCGGCTGCCGGTGCCGAGGTCGTCGACGTACTGCAGGTTCGAGGCGCACGCCAGCAGGAACCGCTGCGAGACCTTGTCGTAGATCGCGCTCGGCCACGCCCAGTTTGCGAAGCTCGACGGGTCCGTGCCGGTCTTGTCGACCGCCCCAAACAGGCCCGACAGGGTGGTCGTCTTGACCGGGACGCCGGTGGAGTTGCCGGTGACCGGGTCGAGCGCGTAGAAGGCGGCGCGGTCGTTGACGGCGTTGAGCGCGTACGCGCTGCTGGCCGCGATCGCGGCGTCGATGGGGTAGACCTTCTCTTTTTGCAGGTTGAGCCCCTGGAAGCCCCTCCACTCCAGGCTGCCTTGGATGCGCCCGTGCGCGCCGTCCCACGCCGCCGCAGGAGTCATGACTCCGCCGGCCTTGAGGCCCCTCCGCTTGTTCGCGCGCGGCGGCGCGCCGTCCGCTGGCAAACCCGGCTGCGCGCCGTCGTGCGGCGGGCCGCCGCCCGGCCCGCCGGGGCCATCGCTCGCAACCTCGGACTGCGCGAGGCGCCGCCGGCGTCGCTTGATCTCGCGCACCCTCTTCTTGTACATGACGCCGTTGCGGCCCGCGGCCCACTCCCACTTTGCCTGCGGCCTGGCCTCTGTGGCGGCCGCGGCAGACATGGTGGAGGCGGCGGCCATCCTGACGGACGCAGTCGTGGACGGCGCGACAAACACACCAACTCCCTCTGTGATGAGTGTGTGTATGGGG